ATGCACTGCCACGGTGGGCAGTTCCAGCCTGGGAGCCACAGAAGGTTCCCAGAAGCACAGGTTTATTTCTTGTCTTACAACTGGTTGCTTTCCCCAATTGCCCTTGAGTGTGATGCTGTTTTACAGTGTGGTACATCTGCCTCATATTTCAAACACCTCTCTCTGCAGCATCAAAATCCTGCCAAATGGACTGTTTGGTGCATAATGCTGCTGCAGACCACAGAGGAGGTACTGCAAGGTTACAGGTGTTGGAAGGGCAGCTGTCTCCCTGGGTAACTCCTTGTGACAGGTAGAGCTGATGGTGGGAAAAAGAGCCTTCATCTGCACTCTTGAGTGGGAATGCAGCCACTCGAGGGTGATGGGAACAATACAGTATACATCCTTTTGCAGGTGCAGGTCTACACAGAATATTCTCACAGGGGACTCTGACTTCAACGTGTCTTTTGGTAGCTTAGTACCCCTGAGGTTCCTTGGTCATGGAAATTACACCATGAGCATCAGTACTCACTGAAAATACCATTACCCAGTCAGGTCAAGGATTAAGAGAAGTAAATTGCACTTGTGAAAAGTAAAGCAAAAAACAGAAGGAAGGAAAACCATGCGTTTTCATATGGAAAGGGAGGCAATATACCAGCAAAATTCTGGCCTTGCCAATTTCTTATTCTTGGTTTAGTAGCTGGGGACAGAAATGTTCTCCAGATGCAAGGAATCACTAGGCACTTCCTTGACTTCTCAGCATTTCTCTCTCCTGGGAGGGAGGGAGGATCATTAGAAATGGGCTATGTTCTTAAGGTTCTCACAGAATGGTCTGATTCCCCAAATTATAAGGCTTTTTTTTTTTTTTTTTTTTGTAGTAATAAGAGTCAAATTTGGTTTATTTACACTAGGTGTTCCATAGCTCATTCTGGAGACTGGTTGCAGACCTCAGGCTCTGAAGACAATTACAGTTCATAGGATTGCACCAATCTCAGGAAACTGATCAAGAGGAGTCTGTGTCCCTTGAGCTGCAGTTAAACACAGACTGAGTTTCCAGCCTGTGTGTGCATCCAGCTGTCTTAGATCCTTTACAGGTGTAGGAATACTGGCTGCTCATGACCTTGGAAAGTTAAGCCTTCAGGCAGTAACAGACAGTACTGAAAAAGAAAAAGAGGAGGGAAATGATGATTTGACAGTCTGACAGCAACACATTCCCTTTGGGCATGTGTGGGGCTGAGATGATCTGTGCATGCTGGTGTATTCAATTTGCATGTATGTGATCTCTACATATTATAGAGATAATGTATGTATTCTACATATTAACAAAACACATGTTTAAGGAAATAAATTATTTTGAGAAGACAACATTTGGCAGTAGCTCAAAAGAAAGGAGGTAGTGAAATACTTTTGAACTGAGTGCAGTGATTTCAGCTGCATCTGTCTGCTCACCAGCTCGTTGTAAAAACTCTTTTAGAGTGTTGCTGCAGTAGCATTGAGCATGCACAAAGTGGGAAGCTCTTCCATGCCCTCTGAGCTGGAAAATGGAAAGCTTTGAAACCTCTCCTATATGGAAGATACTTGAAATTATTTTTCTGTGTAAGGAATCACCTGCTGAGAATATAAATTTTGCAGATGAACCCCACTAAAGAGGAGAAGAAAACAGAAGGTGGCTGAACTGCTCAAGTGCCCTTCATTTCTACTTAGATACCTTACCTTACTCCTTACCTTTTTCTTAAACAAAGCTAGAAAAAATATGCAGAGGCATTTGTAAAGATAGACATCCTTTAAATTCAGTGTCTCAGATTCTCCAACTGAGGAGCAGAAAATCTGTATTTAGTAGAAATCCTTTCCACTTTGGCTATGTCTGTGCTGCTACCAGAAACTGTAAGTCTCAAAATCCAGGAATAGCATTGTAACTGCACTGATGCAGAGCTCAGCAAAACCTCTCTGGAAAGCTACCTGGACAGCCAGCTCCACTGAGCTGCCATGGTCAAGGCCAGCTGCTGGTGGTGTTAATGCTTGCTCTGGTGGCTTGGGGACAGCTGTGGTCTTCACAAGTCCATCTATTCTCACCCAAGGAGATCTCTCATCAATTGACTTTTCCCAAAGTAACACTGCCAACTGTCTTATACAAGAAATTTTATAGCCTTGGTTGTTTAATGAAGAGATTAATGAATTCTAAATTCTTCGGGCTGAAGCTGGGTGGTCCTTGGTAATGGGCTGTTGGACCCGTTTTGTGTCTTACAGTCTCATCACATGAAGTCTTTCAGTCTTTTTGATGTGTCCCCCAGATTTGCCTCTGTAAATATAAATGCTCCTGAACAAAGGGGTCTCTCCTTTGTAGGCATTAAAGATCACTTGTAAATGTTCTGCAGGGCTAAGGCTGTGTAATGGGCCATTCCAGCATGAAGAGCTCAAACCTGTATTCAGCATGACTAGTTTGGTCTGTGTTTAAAAAGTGAGAACTGAGGCTTTAAAGGAAGAAAACAACTAATCCCTGGGCATCTTCTTCTGAAAGAAAGTGGTCAAAGTCACCTCATTTTTTCCACATCTCACCAGATTTGTTCTTTCACAGCCCTTGGCCATCATCAGTTATTGTGGGTAAATGACATTCCACATTTCTTCCAACCTACCTACTACCCCAAAAGATGAATCCCACTTTTGTTTTGATTTATATTCCATGGGATTTTTTTTCCCTTTGGCTGGATATTTTGCAATGCAGGCCAGCATCTCTTAGAGACTCATCTCTAAATTGCCACAAACATACTTCAGAAGCCAGTAAGCTGCAATCCTTTCTTCCATGGTTGCAAACATTAATGAACTAAGTGTCACAGTCACTTCTATATGCTAGAGACATTTTGTTCCTTAGGTGGCCATGCATCTGAGCCACTGAGGGATTTAAGTAAAACAGTTGGATATGTAACCCTGGTTTACTATCATGACCATGTGTCTTGTCTGCAGAATTCCATCTCTCTTAACCTCTTTTCAGATGGAAAAAGATATTCTGTCCAGCAGCCAAAGGGAAATGCAAGCATCCTGGTGGAAAACAAGCTGTTTCAAAACCCTGGCTGCAAGCTACCCACACATCACAGTTGTCAGCCAGGCTGCACATGCATAGTTACAGGGAATAAAATAGAGAGGACCTTCTGTTCCTATTCAGAAAGGTCTCTATCCATTCACCTACACAAAAGGATTGTCATCAGCTGCCAGTATTAATTTGTTCTCCTATGTAGGTTTCCAGCTAAAGGAGAATAAAATAAGTCCAGTCCTATCCAGCAGGAGCACTTGGAATGCAAATGCTAGCCCATATATTTCAAAGCATTAATGCGACCCACTTCTAGATTACTTGGGGTAATTTCTGATTTTATTTATTCCTTCCTTTCTTCAATTAACTTCTGAGAGGCTGAAATATCAGTATGCAGAGAATCAAATATGAGAAACAAAGTCCATTTTTATTTTAGGACTCTGCTTGCCTTGTAATAGCAGTTTATTTAAAGAGGAGCCTGGAATAATCCAGTTTAAGCAAAGCAAAGAGCTCTACTGAAGCCAAACCTTGTGTGGGTGTGCTCTTGTCAGGACTCCCAGAAGAGGAGGACAGGAAAGGCTCTTAGTCAGACCACAGATATTGCAGGAGATGTTGGTTACTCAGTAGCTGGCATTATTCCTTGGCATACCAGTACAGAGCTACTACTCTGGTGTACTGGGAGAGAGTACATCCCACTGGGAAAAGCCTCAGATAACCTGATGTCCTGCGCTTTATTGTCATAAAGAAAATCCCAAGGATACGTGGGTGCAAGAGGTGTCTACTGCAAGGGCCTCGCCTGTGCTTTAGGGACAACTTTGCCTCTTCCCCTTGTTCCTCCTTGTGCTGTGTCTGCAGCACATCCCACGCTGGGGTCTGGTGCGTTGCTTTGTGTTGTGTGGGGTGGTGTCACCTCCTGCTATTTGGACCTGGACTCAAAGCCACAACAGACTTCATCCAACTGGGTCACAGCTTCTTACACCATCCCAGGAGTTTCCCACATACTCAATTTTCACACAAGTGAATGGTATCCTCATGCTTCTCAGAGGTCATAAAGTTGGACATAAGAATAAATTTTTGCATTATCTCAGCTTTCTTTGTATTTTTTTAATGAAGGGTTTTTTTTCAGTATGTTGTTCTTTAAAATTTCTAAGACAACAGCACAGCTAAGGATGTGGTAAATATAAGTAATTTCAGCATTAAAGACAGAGGAGTATGTTCCTCAGAAAAAAAGAAAATTGATTAATTCTTGAAGCAGCAGGTGATAATAACAAAGAAGATAAGGTTCAATTTTGTTTCCACTGGTGGATTTGAATGTCTGAGCATCATCTTTCTTAGTTATATGTCTGTGGATTTAAATTTTAATTATTTGGCTTGGAAATAATAAATGATTGTATTGTATTTCTAAAAACTGACATATTCTCAAATTCTGCACTATAAAATTCATATCTGTACCGCTTTGCAGTGAGAACCAGGACATTAATGATTAGCTATAGACAGAAATATTAATTAAATTTCATATGGTGATAAATAATATAGAGCTGAACATAGCAATTTCTTTAAAATAAAAAAAAAAAGAAGTGTAGTAAGATATTTATTTCATAAGTCTGTGAGAATTACTGTAGACAATAAAGAGGGCATGAAAACTTAGAGCCTGCATAGATATTGATTGGTATGTTGAGGATGTATTTCAGATATTTATCCTCTGCTTTCCCTCTCCGAGGAGAGCCTCCCTTGGGCAATTCTTGCCATTGATTTTGAGTCTGCCAGCTCAGAAGCTGGAAATGTTGTTGCTGGTGGGAAAAGTACAAGAACAGCAATTGATTGCAGATACATTTTATGATACTCTGCTCCCATATTTCAAAGGGGAAAATTTATTAATGGTGGCAGGTCTCTGATTCTCCCTTTTAAACATATCGGGCAAACCCGTGTTTTTTCAAGCTCCTGCACGTTTTAATTTTCTCCGAAACTGACCCCTTTTTTTGTTTTCTTTCTCGCACAGACAGTGAAATCATCCCTCCTGACTGCCTGCGGCCCCGCTCCTTCACGGCCATCCGCCGGCCCTCGCTGCGCCGGGACACCGAGGACACGCGCCTCTCGGTCAGCCTGTGCGACCTCAACCTGCAGGAGGACGCCTTCCACGTGACGGCCACCACCTGCCCCATCCCGCAGAACTCCCTCAACTCCCAGCACTCCCACCTCCTCCCGTCCCAACTGGAGAGCGACCTCCGCTTCCACCACCTCCGGGGCCCCCATGTCAAAATCCTCGATGACCAGACCGTGGCCCGCCTGGAGCACGCTCGGGAGGAGAGGACTTTGGTGTTCACCAGCAGACCCCTCCGGATCAACGAAACCATTTTTGTCAAAATCAACAAGTCCAACGCCGTGCGCACGGGGACGCTCTCCTACGGGGTGACGTCCTGCGACCCCAGCACCCTGCGCCCCAGTGACCTCCCCTATAACCCCGAATCCTTGGTCGACAGAAAGGAGTTCTGGGCCATCTGCCGAGTGCTGGTGCCCCTCCAGAGCGGGGACATCCTGGGGTTTATGGTGAATTCCGACGGTGAGCTGCACTTGAGCCACAACGGTGCTGGCGTTGGCATGCAGGTGTGCGCGGACTGTTCCCAGCCCCTCTGGATGTTCTTCGTTTTGCACGGAGCCATCATGCAAATTCGATTGCTGGGTATGTTGGACCCCCTTTTTCCAAACCTTGTGCACAGGAAAGCGAGGAGGGGGCTACATCATGGGAGAGGGAGTGAACGGCTCCCTCCCCGCTCTAGGATGAGGTACAAATTTTGGTTTTATAAAAAGAAAAAAAAAATGCGAAGGCACAAACATAGCATATGGGTGTAAGTTACAAGATTTAACCTTGCACTTCTGTAACACCCTTCACGTAATAGTCTCAAAGAGCTTTTCAGATAATGAATTAAGCCTCAGGGGCCTCTATTAAAGCACAGATGAGTCATCACTGACCTAGGAGATGCAAGGAGGGCAGAGGTGAGATGCTTTGGGCTGAGCTAATGTAAGGCATAGCCAGCAGGAGAAAAGAGATCTGATGCCCTTTTCTGTGTGTTAGATATCTGGGATGATGGACTCCCAAAAGAGGGGTGCCCTTGCTTTCCCCAGGCTTGTATGTGAGCCAGCAAGCAGAGGAGAAACCCAACGGTTCACTGAGCATGGCACTGACCATCTCAACAGGAGAAAGCTTTCCTTGTCCTCCAGCCCTTTTAAAGGCAGTGTAGCTCACACAGGTTGATAGAGCTCTGAAGAGCTGGCCTCTTGGCATTTTTGCTGTTTTTTCAGCTCTTTTAGCTGACATACTTCATTGAAATGCTGCAAGTCACAGATGGAAGGTGTGGAGGGAAAAGCTTTGAAATAACATTTCTCAGGATCAAATTTACTTTCTCGTGTGTGTATATTTAGACCAAGTATAGGGTGTGTTCAATCATTAATTTGTACCATATCATGGTTCTGCTGCTTTCAGTGTCAGACAGTAAAAGATGGATTCTGAGAACATGATGTAATTCCCGGTACCCCTCTAAATGAAGAAGATTAAAAAAATGCTCCTTTCTTTTTATACTGTTACATAACTTTAAGTGTACTTATATTCCATTGTGCTTCAAATCCTGCTCATACCTAACAGCAAAAATAAACACCAGCAACGTGCCTCTCCATCAAACTCAAGAGCCAACCAACACCTCCTTTTTTTAGGATTTATAGACAGTATTTGAAGATAAATTGTGAGCACACACTTCTGTCTGCAGGGTCCAGTTCACCTTAATCACAGTATGAAATGCCTTGTATAATTTGTTTGAAGTTGACCACAGGACTCTGCCGTGAGTGTTTTGTGGCTGTTAAAGGCTCACAGAAGACAAATGTAATACTGCAATTTATTTCCAGGAGCCCGAGACTCAATCCCTGCTAATTCAGCCTGATTACATTTGATGTGGGTACTGTGCATAATCCATGGTTTGCTCTGCTCTCCACCAGCATGTCATTGTGATAATGGTAGGTGAAGTCAAACAGAGCACAGTCAAGCAGGAGATTAAATGCTCCTGTGTACGTTAGGAGGAAAACATACTTAGGTCATTGAGCTGCTGGTAAAACTAAATCATCAACCAGTGCTTCCTTTCATATGAGATCACTGATTCTGGCAGTTTGGCACAGAGCAAGCAGCCTGTTTGCAATGAGCTCTGAAACAGGGCAGCAAGGATGTGTCTCCCCAGAGGGACAGAATCACATCCTCATACTGAATTTGAGAGCATGGACATGAGCCCAGACCTCCTGTGTAAACCTCCTGCTGTGCATGGCCTGCAAATGTCCTCCCTGCTTGATCACAAGTTCAGCCCAAACCAGTACAACCCCAGTGCATGTTTTAGACAAATCTACACTTGTATGCATGAAATGAAATGTGCAGAGTTGGAAAACCCCTCACTACTTGTGTTTGTGACCATGATAGGCTTTTCTAGCCTTCGTCACCGAAAAAGAACCTGAAAATGGGCTATTGTTCCTTAGTGAGATGTAAGTGAAAAGAGCTGGACTTGCTGACCTTGCCTCTTTCAAGGAAAGGGTAGGACCCTGCTGAGTGTACAACTTTATCCACATCAGCTTGGGCAGCAAGCTGCTATCTCCAAGTTAAATGCTTTGAAATTGGAGCTTGCCTGTAGCTTTTAACAGGTATTAAAATACAAATAGAGCTTTTCATACCTATATTTCCAGTATAACAGTGCTGGGAGCAGTGCAGTTCCTGTATCAATACAGCATCAGGGTAGTACAACTGCCCAGAGAAAAGCACTGATGCTGTCCCAACTGCGTCTCTGCAACTGCAGTAATTACATGGATCAGGAACATCCTGACAGAAGACAAAGAAAATTATGAACTCCCAACTCTAACTATTGCAGTTTTATTAAGGAGGTGATGTGCACTGTTTGCACTGCAGAGGAACAGATTATGGTGCTTGCCATAATATGTGTCATTATAATATTAGAAAATGTAAGAAGAATGTAAAGTGTTCATCTTTCTAATGACATGCTCCATCTTCAGAATGCAAACAAGAGTAATTTTGTGAGATCTGTCTTTTGTAATTTGAGCTTTATATCACAGCAGAAGACATTTATAGTCATCTTTTTCTAGTTTAAATAGAAAAAGTGAAGTTACATATCCTTGAAAGAAATGAGACACAAATATTGCAACAGGCATAATTGTACCAAACCTATCCTAAATAGCAGATGTCATTCTATTTCTGGGGCACACCATTATGAGATTAACCAAGGCAACATTATACAGTGTTAAAGGAGCATCAGCACTACAGCTGACTATAAAATGAAATTAAAGTTGTTGGGTTTGCTTCTTCTCCAGCTTTTCAGTTTTGTTGGGAGAATGGACAGCCACTCTTGCACCCAGAGAAGGTTTGGTTTTGGCTTGGAGAAGAAGATGACTCTGGGTATTGATCACTGGATTCTGTATTTCGTGACTGGACATTATTTATTTGGTCCTGATGCAGAGCAGGAGCAAGCTCAGGTCTCTGCTGGCTTGTGACTTTGCCATAGAAGCTGACATTTGCTGACTGCAGTTATTTCACTGTGCTGGAGATACAACATTTATTTCCTAATATCAGGGGAGACAATCTCTGCCCAGCCTGGGGATCTTACAGGACTCTGTAGAAGAGGGGGGCAGTGTGGGGTTAGCTGGATAGTAAAGAATTCTGACTTCTGTTTTCCTCTTATCAATCTGGCATTGTATACTGGCAATATATTTGCTGTAAGAGAAATAAAACAGCCGAAAATTAAGATGAGGTTGGAAACACTATTATTCTTCATGCCATCTGAGTAAAAGCAAAATAAATTAAACCGAAGCCCCACTATAATGCAGTGAGAGGCCAGAGTCATCTGTAGGGGAGGCAGAAGAAAGTCAATTTGTTTCAAAGAAAAGTTTAAAAGGCAACTTGACCACATGGAGTAAACATAAATGAGAGAGAAGGGCACTTTAATGTAGCAGATAATAGAATAAAAAATATCAAGCTGCTGGGAAATGGACACAAATTTAAATTAAACATAAATGAGGGTAATTAACTCTGGGAACCAGCTATTGAGGGAGGCAATAGATCTTTTTTGTCAGGGAAGCTCTTCTAAATATTTTATATGGTAAGTGCTGGTCTTAATTTAGTAATTCTGGGGATTATGCACATAAAAACAACCAAACAGAAACCTAGATCTTGAGGCATGTAGAAATGAAACAGTCTTTGTGTACCCTTTAGGAATTTCATTAGTTGAGGCTCGGGTTGTTTTTTTTCAGATATCATTCCTATATAGTCAACAAAACCAGACTATTAAATTTGATTTACTGCTCTCAGCTTTTGCTGGTAAGCATTTCAGCTCACACACAGTTTTATTGACAGCTCTGAAAGGTTGAAATGAGCCAGTCTGGATACAATGGTCTGGTTTTGGTCAGGTTTTGGTGGTGTAATTCATTTATGAAGTCAAATTGATTGACCCCATAAGGTTTCAAAATGTATGACTCATGTCTGGAGAAGCTATCACAGCAATAAGTTTATATATTTAATGTTTGAGGATCCAAATGGTTGGGGATATTCTTTAATTTTCTTTTGTCTCAGAGTTGAATTGCTAGCAAGTAAAACAACTTCCTTAATCGCTCTCTCTCTCTCTCTCTTTTTTTTTTTTTTTTTTTTTTTTTTTTTTTTTTTTTTTTTTTTTTTTGTGGTTTTGGTTTCCCTTGCAAATTTCATCCTTTCCAATAACATTGAAGCTTTCTTTTGAGCAATGAAATAACATGTTCCATCAACAGTCACACTAATGAAGCCAGGTTGCCAACTTATCTGTGTCCTTTCTTTCCATGCACTTCAATAACTCCAGCTCCACTAGAACAGCTGCACAATATAGCAGCTTTCTGGATGTCTCCTAATGTTGGCCAAGAGCCAGTCCCAGGCATAAAAAAAACAACCCAAGAGCCAGCATTTGATGTGGGTAAGTCTGAATTCACATCCGTGCTGGATAAATGCAGTACCTGGGACACCTTCCCACCTCCTTTGCCATGGACGTGAGCTGGGGCTCTGCTTGGCTGCCCATTGAAAAATATTTAGATGTCAATTGTTGCTGAGGGTTGCATTCTTCTTTCAGACTTTCTTGAGATTGGACAATGTGCTCAAAACTGAGGGGGTGAGGAAGAAAGATCTGACATGGGACTTGCAGAAAAAACAGCTCTGTGTCCTCGGTTCCTCGGGATTTCTGACAGCAGCAGTGGGCAACAGACCAAATTGGAAATTAATTCAGCAGAGTACTGTGGGACACAATTTGCTGGCAAAGGGCTCTTTAAATCAACAGTGAAATTTGATCTGAAGTGGCCTTGGTGCCAGCCTGAAGGGCTGCCAGCTGCAGCCAGTCCCAGCTACAGGCAGGCTTACTCTGAGCCGTGCCCATTACCACTCTTTATTACTGGTGGTCAAACTTAGCAGCCCTGGTAGAGCTGCCCTTGTTGAAACAGCCTTTATCCTAGGGCTGACTGGAAAGACCTGAAACTTCATGGATGAACAGAGTAGTGTCTTAGGTGTCATTGAGCAATGGTTTACCAGAGGGAGTTACTTTGTCTCCTTGTGTGATGTGCATCACACTGCCCTGTCTGGTTTTCCTTGACTTTTGCTCTGTCCAAGGTGAGTGACCAGCTCAC